CACCGCGCTTCGTCCCCCGAGATGCTGAGCATTTTGCAAGAAGCCAACACAAAAGTACTTGTAGAAAGTTAAGATGCACCAGGAAATCTGTGAACAGGTAACTGGTCTCAAGATTTGTCCTTTAAGAACCCTTTTTCTATACCTGTCATCCCAGTACTTTGGAGGCCGAGGTGGGCGGATCACAAGGTCAGGAGATTGAGACGACCCTGTCTCTATTAAAATACAAAAAATTAGCTGGGCATGGTGGCCTGTGCCTGTAGTTCCAGCTACTTGGGAGGTTGAGGCAGGGGAATTGCTTGAACCTGGGAGGCAGAGGTTGTAGTGAGCCGAGACTGCACCACTGTACTCCATCCTGGGCAACAGAACAAGATTCCATCTCAAAAAAAAAAAAAAAAAAAAAAGTTACTCATGACTGGCATGGAACCTACTGCTCACCTTAAGCTTTTTCATTTATTTATTTTTATTTTTTTAAGACAGAGTCTTGCACTGTTGCCCGGGCTGGAGTGCAGTGGCGTGATCTTGGCTCACTGCAACCTCCACCTCGCGGGTTTAAGTAATTCTCTGCCTCAGCCTCTTGAGTAGCTGGGATTACGGGCGTGTGCCACCATGCCTGGCTAATTTTTTGTATTTTTAATAGAGACGGGGTTTCACCATGTTGGCCAGGCTGGTCTTGAACTCCTGACCTCGTGAACCACCTGCCTCAGCCTCCCAAAGTGCTGGGATTACAGGGGTGAGCCACTGGGCCCGGCACCTTAAGCCTTTTCAAGCAATAGCATCGAAGAAAAAGTAGCGGATCGCTAGTGATGCTGCTGGTTACAAATGGCATCAAATTTCCTTAATGCCCAAGGCCGTCACCCCCATGCCTGGATTCTCAGAGGAACACCGAGAACCGCTTATATCTGCCAAGAGGAAAAAGCAATGATGTGAATGAAACGTCCGTTTCTCTCTCCTTTTTGGCCGATTTGGCATCTAAGTCATTAAGGAGAACGGAGGGACTGACGGGGCAACAGAGCCCAGCAGGAAGAGGCCGGCGGGAGTTCTTCAGTGAGGAAAACAGACTCCTGGGCCAGCAGCTCGCTGTTCAGATGGGCGAGGCCACTCTAGTGCAGGGCACCTGATCGCCATGGTAACCGAGCTCAGAGCCAGTGGCCCCCATGGTCTCTGCTGTCAGCCCGCTTCCCTTCCTGCAGGGCTGTGGCTGGCTGAGCAAGTTGTCCATAGTACCTGCCTACCTGGGAGGGTCATCCAACCGCCAGTCCACCTTCAAGGCCTGGAATCTCCAGCACTGATCGTTGCTCACCAAGATTCAGGAAGAAGCCAAGCTAGGCTTGCGATGACCTTCCTGCAGAAACCTGCTTCTACCACAGCGAGCTGCTTAAGGCAGGGAACGGAAGGAGCTACGACCAAGGACGGAGCATCTTCTGGGCTGGGGGCCCCTTGAAAGGATTCCGAGGTAGCCATGGGAGGAACAGGGTATCGGAATCTTGTAGCAATCTTAGGACAGAGGCTCGCTCCCCTGCTTCGGGGCAGCAATGCTGAAAGCTTCCACAGAGACACTGTCAAGGAAGATTCTAGAGAATCTCATTGTCCCTCGTCCCAAGGATTTACTAACAACCACTATTAGAAAGCAGCTGTATTTTTCTAAATTAAATTTCCTATACTGGGCCAGGCACAGTGGCCCATGCCTGTAATCCCAGCACTTTGGGAGGCTAAGGCGGGCGGATCGCCTGAGGTCGGGAGTTCGAGACCAGCCTGGCCAAGATGGTGAAACCCCATCTCTACTAAAAATACAAAAACTAGCTGGGTGTGGTAATGCATGCAGGTAATCCCAGTTACTTGGGAGGCTGAAGTGGGAGAATCACTTGAACCTAGGAGATGAAGGTTGCAGTGAGCTGAGATCGTGCCACTGCACTCCAGCCTGGCTGACAGAGCGAGACTCCATCACACACACACATGCACATCTATATACCGCAAATATAGATTTTTAAATTTTTTTGAGACAGGGTCTCCCTCTGTCACCCAGCCTGGAGTGCAGCGGTGTGATCTTGGCTTATGCCAGCCTCGACCTCCTGGGCTCAAGCAATCCTCCTGCCTCAGTCCCCCAAGAAGCTGGAACTACAGGTGTGTGCCACCATGCTCGGCTAATTTTTGCATTTTTTGTAGAGACAGGGTTTCACCATGTTGCCCAGGCTGGTCTCGAACGCCTAAGCTCAGGCGATCTGTCTGCTTTGGCTTCCCAAAGTGCTGGGATTACAGGCATGAGCCACTGTGTGAAACTCTCTTGAAAAGTAACCTCTGATAGCAAAGTTTCAGACAAGGAAAGCCATATGATAATCTCTTTTCTTTCTGGCAAGGCCTTCCTTCCAGAGAAACATTTTTGCTTAGCCATCATTACGCTACATAGTTTTTAAAAATTTTCCTGGCCAGCCATGGTGGCTCACACCTGTAATCCCAGCACTTTGGGAGGCTGAGGTGGGCAGATCACCTGAGGTCAGGAGTTCGAGACCAGCCTGGCCAACATGGTGAAAACCTGTCTCTACTAAAACTACAAAAATTAGCCAAGTGTGGTGGTGGGCACCTGGAGTCCCAGCTACTCAGGAGGCCGAGGCAGGAAAACTGCTTGAAAACCTGGGAGGCAGACGTTGCAGTGAGCTGAGATCACGCCACCACACTCCGGCCTGGGTGACAGAGCGAGACTCTGTTTCAAAAACACAAAAATTTTTCCTGCAATACAGGAAACATTTTTCCATTTTTCTCCCTAGTCACCATGATTTTTGCTTCTGCTGGTGACTTTCCTGACTTCAGGGTGTTGGGTAAGTGATCTGTGCTCAACCTCCCTCTTGCTGGAATGACACAGGGCGGAAGAGATAGACCCATGTGTCGCCTCTTCACAAAAACCACTGACAACTTCTACACCCTTTTCAGTTTTATCCAGGGGCTCATCACCTTTTTCTCTCTGCCGCTTCCAATCTGCAAGACTCCCTAGGAGTCTTAACTGACTTTATTCTATAACGAAAATTGATACTTTACAAATGCCATTTACATTCCTCTTAGGAGCCAAGCGTGTTTTTCATAGGTTTGAAATGTGACTGTTGTATGAACATTTCAGCACGGTGGTGACTATCTGTGACAATACAAAGGAAAACGTCATTCTTCAAGGATTTGCTACGTCACGGAGAAGTTTCTTCTGGCACTGATTGTCAGCAGGCCTGGCACTGAGGGAGACTTCCTGTTTTATATAGGAACAAGGGTTTTGTTTTGTTTTTTTTTTGAGATGGAGTCTTGCTCTATCACTCAGGCTGGAGTGCAGTGGTTCGATCTCAGTTCACTGCAACCTCCACCTCCCGGGTTCAAGTGATTCTCCTGCCTCAGTCTCCTGAGTAGCTGGGATTGTAGGTGCCTGCCAACGCACCGGCTACTTTTTTTGTATTTTTAGTAGAGATGGGGTTTCACCATGTTGGCCAGGCTGGTCTTGAACTTCCGACCTCAGGTGATCCGTTCACCTCAGCCTCCGAAAATGCTGGCATTACAGGTGTGAGCCACTGTACCTGGCTTAACGAGAGGTTTTGACCTGGGAAATGTTAGTTACTCTCTGCCAAGTTCAGTCCTGCCTCAATGGACTCAAATACTCTCATGAGTTTAAAGAAGGCCAGCTTCCTGTTGGAGCAGGGGGTCAAGGCTAACTTTCCACGCAGATGTCCGTAAAACTCCAGCACGAACAGTTACGCCCGTTATGCTCCCTGAAGTTTCTGAACTCGAGCCAGTGCTGGATGAGTTCTTGGTACTTCCTCATTAAATTGGCAAAGCCAGAATGAGTGATTCCTTCTCCCGATGGACCCCCACTCTACCTAGAGGTCCAGCCATGAAGACCCACGGAGCGGGCAAGACACAGCCTCCTGACCTCCACGTTGGTCAGAATCAAATCAGAATATGGACAACACACAGAACTCTCAACTGGGGACTGAGGTGCCACCGAGGCGCTCCGGCTGCATCTGTGTGTTGGCTTGGGGATCTTGCAGAAGCAGCAGCCGCTGCCACCCAGCTGTTCCCCGCGCTACACACGTTCCCCGAGTGAAGCTTGCGGCAAGCTGGCGGGCTTCGTGCTCCTGTTAGCTTTGTTTGTGTTTTCAATGAATCAATGGGATATGGAGACGAATCAACATGTTTAGGAAAATACGGAAAGGGAAAAAGAGGACCAGCTCATAGCGCAGGCTGTTTCTAAAAGCCAGGCTTTTAGAAAAGCCCGTGAAAAGCTCGGCGGCAAGTGTGGGCTCGGCGCACGAGGGGGAGGCGGGGGCACGCAGGAGGGAGCCTGGGAGCCGTGGCCTCGGGTCAGCCTCGGTGGGCTGTGTCCAGGTACCGTGTGGCAAAGAGAACAAGTCTGGCCAGAGACCTCGGGGCTGTGAAATGCAGACAGGAAGCAACCAAGCTTCTCAGCCTGCAGCCGCCACCCTCTGCTGCCACCACCTGCTCCCACGCTCTGACCTCAGTCCCCAGCGCTCCGTCCGTTCACACCTGAGCTGTCTTCACGGGCCTCCTGGCCATTTCCTTTCTGCTACCTTTCCCACTGCTCAAGCTCCAAGCTCCTGTTTGCCTCTTCGAGGGCTGCCTGGATGTCTTCCAGATAGACAAGAAGTCCCCCGACACGACCCCACCGGGAGTGACGTGTGCCTGCGCTTTGTCCCTTCCTATCAGACAGTAAGCCCCCCCCGAGTGGGGAATCTGTCTCTTACACCTCAGCCCTGAACACAAAGACACAAGGCTCTGGGCGGATGAAGGATGACACCGGGCCTGGGAACCTTAGCGGTGTCCCTCCACGCACCGTAGCCTCACTCTCCATTAGAAACTGACGCGGACGGGGACCCTGTTTGCAGATAGGAGGCCATAATTCAGCTCCCCAAATCCAGAATGCGGGAGCCTCCAGGGGACAGACCGGAGGACAGGAAACAGAAGAGGCAGCGAGACATTTCATGCAAAAGCAATAGCAATCGGCTGCTTACCTGAGCTGACACAGCCCTGCTGCAGGGGGTCCTGGAGCGACGTCACGGAGTGGAGTACTAGAGCAGGAAAAGGCTGTAATTAAAGGAAGGAACGAAGTCCAGGGCCTCAAGCTTCCTAACTGAAGGTGGCGAGGCCTGGGGGAAGCGTCCCGCTCCTCCTGGGGAGGGGCGGGCGCGGGGACCCGCAGGGCAGGGAGGCGCTGCTGCTGCAAGGCCAGGCCCCCGGGCTGGGAGCAGGTGAAAGCGTTCGCCTCTGACATTTTCCGCTTGAGTACCTTTGGCTGACTTTCCTGACGCCCTCCCTGATTTAGCTACTTGACTTTTACCTGTATTTATGTATAAACAGCAGTTTTTAAATTGGTAACTCATTTTCTGCTGCTTATAAAATTAGACAGGCACGATCTTCTCTCCTGAACACTGTAATAGTCAGGCCGCTGGTGACAGGCTGTGGAGGAAGGGAGCGGTTCTGTCCCCCCAGCGCCAGTAAACCGCGGGGGGTGGAGTGGGCCGCCTCTCGGGGCAGAAGTTCCCTCCTCCCTCTCTGCATAGTCCAGGTGGGGCTGCTACAGTGACCAGGTCTTTGCTACAGTGGGGGCAGCCCCTCTCCCGCGGCAGGACCCCCGTTACCTGGCCCTTGCTGCTGGCCCTGGACGGGTAGAACACCCTGGCCCAGCTCGCCATTCAGCCAGAGCTGCATCCGGATGAAGGGTTCTCGGCCTTTCTGCGTCAGCTTGCTCCACGGCTTCGGTCGGGATAGCATGTCGCTGACACTGCCCTGGGACAGGCCCAACACCTGGAGTGGCAACAAACACACATGGCCATCAGTGGCTGGGTATCAGCACGATGCCACGGACGCTGCTGCAATGCACACGCAACACACAGAGGGCGTGTCTAGGGCTGACTTTTGAGCATGGAATCACGGCCCCGGTGACAGCTCGTGGGCAGGGAAGAAGCATTTAAACGTCAGCGGTGGGCTGAGGCCCCAGCACAGGGGGACTTCTTGGGGAGCTATGGTTATAGCCACAGCTCGTAGCTCTCAGGGAGAGAAGAGGTTCTCCTCCCAGGGTCTTGGTCCTGCCAAGACTGCAGACTGTCATCCTGACACTCTGTGGAGGAGGTGTGTACAAGCACCTTGCTCTTTGCCTGGTGGTACCAAGGAAGGCCAAGGTGCCAGGACAGGACCCTCCAGAGTTGGGGCAGTGGGTGCCAGTGAGATGGGGGGACCTGGTGTCCCCTGCAAACGCCGAGCCAGGCCACCATTTTGAAAGGTTTGCTTGCTCTGATCACATCCTGATCAAAGGTGGGGGCCCAGCGGGGAACAGGCGGGACCCAGGGAGCCGGCCTGGGAGTGACATCCCGCCACAGATGATGGCCGAGTTGCGTGTACGCACCCGTTTCCTGACGCTCCCAGATGGCCATACATATGTATAGCCACAAACACCCCCCACAGGACACAGATGCAGCCCTGGGATATTTAGGGGCTGCATCCGATCACTCTTTTGAAAAGTTCTCAAGTTCCAGAATAAAACTGCACTCAACGGGCCAACCAAGTTCAATGTTATTAAGTCTCTGCTAAATTTAAGGCATGAGCACGAATGTCTATTTCAATATTCTCAGATGGTATTTTTGTAACACTGAACTAGAAATCTCAAGGGGCTTGAAATACTGATCTTCATTTCTAGTCGCCCCCACCTTCACCTTTTGCAAAATCAGGGCAAAGCTGGCCCCTGGACATCACCCAGATTCACGGCACAGCATACGACAAACACTGAGTGGAAGGCGGGGTGGGGAGTGCAGGACGGTGCGTGCAGGGACCCTGGCTGTGGGGGTGGGGGTGGGATTGTCCCTACTGATTCAGCCACGTGCCCCCTCAGGAAGGTGCCTTTTAGAGGAGGGGTGCTCCTCATTCCATTCAGCAGCCCATTATTTAATCTAAAACGACAGGAGGTTGGGAGGCCAAGGCGGGTGGGATCGCTTGAAGTCAGGAGTTCGAGACCAGCCTGGCCAATATGGTGAAACCCCGTCTCTACTAAAAATACAAAAATTAGCTGGGCATGGTGGTGGGCCCTTGTAATTCCGGCTACTGGGGAGGCTGAGGCAGGGGAATCACTTAAACCCTCAGGGAGGCGGAGGGGAGGTTGCCTGAGCCGAGACCGCATCGCTATACTCTAGCCTGGACAACAGAGCGAGACTCTGTCTCAAAAATTAAATAAATAAAATGACACTGGGGCATGATGGTTGCTTTAGATTTGACAGGCACAGTTAACCCTCATCATCCTGAATCTCAATGACCAGGAAAGTGCCAAGAACAGAGAGGCCTGGAAGCTCGTCCGTGCATGATCACACCTTCCCGGGCCAGGGAAGGACGGTGGGGAAACACGGGCCACCCTGCGGGGGCCATCCCTGAGCTGTGTGTCCCTGAGCTGCTTGCTTGACCTCTCTGGCTGAACAATATCCAAGAGTCACACAAGAAAGGGACAATCATGCTCTCTGCGTGCCGGTCGTTCCTCTATGTGGTGATCGGATGAGATCTTTTTCGGCCAAAGCAGGCCACAGGGGTGTCTCTCTGCTCCCCTTGGCAGCAAAAGCTGGGTGTGGACTTGGCTGCCACCAGCTTGGGGCAAGTAGTCAACTTCCCCAAGCCTTGGTGCCCCTCCCTGTCAAACGGAGACATTAATCATCCACCTCCCAGTGTGACTGAGAGGTCGAAAGGGTAGTGCACGGGCGAGGGGCCGAGCCCAGAACCTGGCTGCAGTCGGGGATCGGCAAATGGGATCAGGGGCTGGAACGTTCACCAGCCCTACCCTGGGAAGTCTGGAGCGGAGGATTCCTTCTGCTCCGCTCTTGGGTGAGTCGAAAAGGGTGATGGCCACGGGCTCTGGGATAGACACTTGGTCCTCAGCAAGGAGAGGAGGTGGGAGCACCAAAGCCCCCGGTCAGATCCCTTACCTTCTCCCCGAAGATTCTCTGGCAGATGCCGTTCTTGGCCAGTTTCTCCTTAACCTGCCGGGTGAGCTCGATGGTGTCCACCTCCTGGTACATGTAGACCTCGTACTGCTCGGGGGTCAGCGGGGGGACCGAGGGCTTGGTGGGCTTGGACATGGGCACGATCGGGGAGGATGGCAGGGGGCTGTTCTGTGGCGTCTCGCTGCGGCTGGCCCCAGTCAGACTCAGCTCTGAGCTCTGGGAGTACGGGGACTCCGCGCTGGGCCACTCCTTCCAGTATTCTGACGACGCGGGTCCCTGGAGCTGGCTGCGCTCCGCCCGAGGCTGGCTGCCGCCGCCGCTGCCACCACCGCCCTTCTCTTTCCCGCTGCCCGCTTCTTCGGCCTTGGCCTCCTCGGAGGAGCCAGTGGCGTTTCTCCTCTCCGGCTGCACCGGCACCGCGCTCCACCAGTGATCCTTCCACGCGCCGCTGCGGCCCACCTCGTTTTTCACCTGTCTCAGGACCCCTTGTGGACAATCAGCCACGCCCTGGGGGTCCAGCCCGGGGGTGTCCTGGGCCTCCTTTTTGAGGGCCGGGGGGTTCGGCAGAGCAGAGGCACCCGCCTCGGAAGCTGCGGGGGGCTTCTTCAGGGAGATGGCAAGAGGTGGGTAGGTGGACACGGTCGGCATGGGCGAGGTGGACAGAAGCTTGGGGGTGAGGATGGTGATGTCGCTCTGGGACAGCGGTGCCGGCTTTAAGGTGGGGTCGAGGGCGGCTTGCTGGGCCTCCATCTCCCGGCGGGCTTGCTGCAGGATGGAGCGGATGGCGTCATCGGAGTTCCCGCTGCCGGATGCGGAGGAAGGCTGGGCCGGCTCTGCTGCATGGAGAAAGGGGTGAGACTGTGGCGGGGTGGCCCCCTTCAGCTGGGGACACGCTTCTCACCCTAACTTGACCTACCGCAAATCTGAGTTATTTGGGAGAACCGCACTGTCTATTTCCCCAGCACGTCCCCTGTCAGTGATAACATTCAGGCATCTCGTCTAAACCAAGAACCAGGCCCTGAGGCTGCCGCTGGATGACCTGGTGGCCCGAGGTACACACTGGTATGGAGGGCAATCAAGAGGGAGTCAGTGAAAACGCCCTCCTGCTCCTCCTTTCCCTGATAATTTTTTTTTTGAGACGAAGTCTCACTCTGTCGCCAGGCTGGAGTGCAGTGGCACGATCTCAGCTCACTGCAACCTCCACCTCCCGGGTTCAAGAGATTCTCTTGCCTCAGCCTCCCGAGTAGCTGGGACTACAGATGTGTGCCACCACGTCCAGTGAATTTTTATATTTTTAGGAGAGACAGGGTTTCACCATGTTGGTCAGGACGGTCTTGATATCTTGACCTTATGATCGGCCCACCTTTGCTTCCTAAAGTGCTGGGATTACAGGCATGAACCACTGTGCCTGGACCGAGAATTTTTTTTTTTTTAAAAGAGACAGGATCTCGCTCTGTTGCTCAGGCTAGAGTGCAGTGGCATGGTCATGGCTCACTGTAGCCTCCACCTCCCTGGCTCAAGCAATCCTCCCAGCTAAGCCTCCCAAGTAGCTGGGACCACAGGTGCATGTCACTGTATCTGGCTAGTGTTTTAAGAGACAAGGTCTCACTATGCTGCACAAGCTGGTCTTTTTCTTTTTTTTTTTTGAGACGAAATTTCGCTCTTGTTACCCAGGCTGGAGTGCAATGGCGCGATCTCGGCTCACCGCAACCTCCGCCTCCTGGGTTCAAGCAATTCTCCTGCCTCAGCTTCCTGAGCAGCTGGGATTACAGGCACGCGCCACCATGCCCAGCTAATTTTTTGTATTTTTAGTAGAGACGGGGTTTCACCGTGTTGACCAGGATGGTCTCGATCTCTTGAGCTCGTGATCCACCCACCTCGGCCTCCCAAAGTGCTGGGATTACAGGCTTGAGCCACCGCGCCCGGCCACAAGCTGGTCTTAAACTCCTGAACCCAAGCCATCCTCCCCCACTGGCCTCCCAAAATGCTGGGATTACAGGTGTGAGCCACCACACTTGGCCCCTGATAATTTTTATACTTAGTATTCATTTTCCTGTGCTATATTCTCAAATGCGAGTGGTTCTGTCAAAGCTGAGGAGTGTAATTTCTGTGAATAATTGCAACAAGGGGCCAGGTACGGTAGCTCATGCCTGTTATCCCAGCACTTTGGGAAGCTGAGGTGGGCAGATCACTGGAGGACAGGAGTTTGAGACCACCCTGGCCAACATGATGAAACCCTGTCTCTACTAAAAACACAAAAACTAGCTGGGCATGGTGGCATATGCCCACAGTCCCAGCTACTCGGGAGGCTGAGGCAGGAGAACCGCTTGAACCAGGGAGGCAGAGGTTGCAGTGAGCTGAGATTGCGCCATTGCACTCCAGCCTGGGCAACAGAGTGAGACTGCATCTCAAAAAAAATAAAATAAAATAAAATAAATAAAAAGGTAACTATCAGGCAAATGCAGATTACACAGACCTGCTTCTCTCTCTGTGCCTAAATGCTTGAGAACTGGCACTCATTATTGTTAAAAAATAAATAAATAAATAAATAGTTAATTACCGCTGACCAGAGCACTCATGACAATTCTCTTAATTAAGTTTGGAAGACAGTGGGTGAAGAAATGGAAGCTGTACCGGTTTTCTGCACTTGGAGCTCCCGCTTCGCCTGCTCTAGGATGGACTTGATGGCTTCATCGGAGCCAGTCTCGGAGGCTCGGATCCGGGTGGTGATGTTACCTGCGGGGAGAAGTCGCACCAATGACATCAAACCCAAACCTCGGACGGAAGTCAGCGCTGCGCGATGACATCATTCCGATAAACAGCCCCACTGTGTGGAGGCCGGTGACACAAGGAGGCAGATGTGGCCTCCCAGTGGCCTGTGTTTGCTGTGAGTGTGACTTCACAGTGACACCAGGCAGGAGGGATTTCCTCCTGGAGCTGACCGTACGGTCAAGTTTACTCTGCCAGAGCCAGACACCACCCGTGGGTTAGTACCCGGGAGGACCGATCATTTGATCCATCCATATATACATATATATATATAAAAGGTGAGTGATTAAAAGGGAATGTTTTTCCTCAGTCACTTAGGAGCAACTGCTGTGGCTTGGGACTGACTATCCTCGGGGTGGGATGTTTACTGGAGGCTGGCGTCCCACACGGGATCAACGGGAGAGGAGGGCAGAAGGGTTTGAGGCTGATTCTCTATCAATCATTCAGATGCACAGGGTGAAAAAAGACAGGCTAAACTTAAAAAATTGTTTCCATCTATGATCACAATATAATGTCTTTGTAAAATTTACAAACGAGGGTAGGAACCCGTGGCAATTCCTAAGGGGCGAGGATAGATTCTTTCGGCCACGTGGTGACGTTTGGTGCAGGCACACATGCAGACGAGATAAAGTGACGGTGGCCCAGGGGCTGGCCCCAGCTCTTTTTGGAAGCCGCCCGGAGAGTTTAATTTCTCACTGCCTTCCTAAATAGGAACCACTGCATTCAAAACAAGCATACCACTGTTTAAAAACAAGTCTGCCACCGGGATGATGTGGGATGCGTCCATTCCGTGGGACCTCGGGTGTTTCCGAGTTAAAAAATACAAGGAAGCAGCAGTATTTAATGTGACGGGGTCACCTGCCTTTTCTCAGAGCAACTGCTGTCATTCTTTCACCTGCATCTGAGAAATAGCGGACCGGGTAATTAGTATCTGGAGTGGGCTGGGATTCAGATTCGGGGGGCTTAGCTTGGCGGGTGACTCTTTTTGCCCCTGCCTGTGCTTGGGAGGAGGCAGGCAGCTCAGGAGGAAGGGGCTGGGTGTGGTTGAACCCGTGCCTTGTTTTATACTTACTAGCTGTTTTTCCATCAGGTTCCAGGCCAGAATCACACGGCATAGTTTTAACCCAAATACACAGCTAAGGACATGCTGCTTCCCTAGGTTACTGACTGCAAAGAAAACACCTGCCTGCGACATACCTTCAGACCCATTTCTTCGTTTCGGTACTTCCTGAAATAGTCTGTTCAGGCTCTGGCCTGGATTCTCTGTTGAAAAACAAGTGTGGTAAGAACAAAACAATCAGGGGAATGGTGGTGTTGACGTTATGGGCTGTGTGACATGAAATCTGAGCCTCCTGTCGCTAAAGAAAGGGCTCAGGGCTGCCTGTGCAACTCGGGAGTTTCTAGAATCTTCTGAGAGGCCCTTCCCTGGCTGACCGGCCCACAGAGGCCGTGGGTCTGCTGCAAAAGGAGATGGGGAAACCTCACGAGCGACCTGCGGCACCAGGGCCAGGGAGGTCCAAGGGATGGGGGGACTGCCTTGAAGTAGGATCACCCGCCAGCCCCCAGAACAAAGCTCACATTAATCATCCAGAGACATTCGATTTCGGTTAACATCCTCATAAAACACTGCATGTTCTCGGTGCAAACTGATGCTCTTCAAAGCCTCTCCCTGCTCCGCTTGAGTCTAAATTTCAGGGTGTTTCAAACACGTCTGATGGAACGCCCTCTCTATAGTTCTGTTGACATGGCACATTGATCCCCTGGTCTTCAATAAGAAAGGAACTTTTTTTTTTTTTTTTTTTTTTTTTTTAAATTTGAGGCAGGCTCTCATTCTGTTGCCCAGGCTGAAGTGCAGTGGCTCAGTCATGACTCACTGCAGCCTCCACCACCTGAGCTTAAGCCATCCTCCCGCCTTAGCCGCTCAAGTAGCTGGGACCACAGGTATACGCTACCACGCCTGGCTAATCTTTTGATTTTTGTGTAGATCAAAAGAACACAAAATCTATGTTGCCCAGGCTGGTCTTGAACTCCTGGACCCAAGAGATCTGCCTACCTCAGCCTCCCAAACTGCTGGGATCACAGGTGTGAGCCACCGCACCCGGCTGAGATTTTAGAAATGATGAATGCGACTGACATTTTATCTTTTTACAGAGGGTGGGGTAGGAAGGGTATTTGAATAAAACTTTTGTGTATTTTACTCAAGCCAAGCCTGTCTTGCTCATAAGGCTACCCAAATCACCTAATGGACCGTGAATGATGCAGGGAAAGTGACCACGGGACACGCCCTCTTCTGTGTGGTGGGAAGAGGGGAGGTGTCTGTGATGTGCTCTCCCTACAGAACCAGCTCTGCACGAGGATCCCGCCCAGTCAACATTGCTGCTATGGGGCTAGAAGGGTCCCAAGGGATCCTCCCAAAAGTGAGACCAGCCCCCAAGGCCAATTGGACCCATGGCCACTAAGCATACCGAGACGCTATGCGCCACGTAGCGCAATTCCCTCTGATACGATCTACGGTATGGAAATACTGGGTTTCCTAAGTGCGGAGTGCTGAGTGCGTTTCAAAGGTCAGATCTCCCAAATCTAACAGCCTTAACTCATGCCGGGCCACCCTTGAGCTCTGGATGTGGCAGAAGTAGAGAGAGCTTTACCTGATGTGATGTGCAAATGTTTTGTCAGCCACACACAGACACACACACGCATGCACACACACGCGTGCAACTCCGTGACGCGCTCACCCGCTGGTGCCACCCAACGCCAGTCTCTCACCTCTTTGTCTGCCTTGGATGCTACGGAGGGCCAGGATGTTCTGCTCATCAGAGAGGAACTGTTTCATCTTGTGAAATGGCTCCTTGCCGCGAACAGTCAGTTTATTCCATGGCTTGGGCCGCGCCAGAATCTCGCTCACGGACCCTTGAGACAGTCCCAAGACGTAATGTCCGAAAATCCGTTGTCCGATATTGTGCTTAATCAGCTGCTCTTTGACCTGCCGGGCGATTTCTGCAGTGTCCATGTCCTCGCCCTCGGAGACGCTCCCAGCACTTTCTGACTGGCTGGGGGATGGGGCCATGCCATTGACATCTGGGCTTTGTTGTAATGGACTTTGGGAAGATATGGAGTTTGTGCTGTATGGACCTGTTGAAAAAATCATGCTTGTGCTTCCGGCTTCCTGCATAGCCTTGGAGTAGAAGGACTGCATTAGCTGTCGCTGGAGAAGAGAGTTTAGTGCAAATTTTCCTGTAGAAGCCAGGGGTAGGCTGGGGCTTGCCAGGGATGAGCTGAAAAAGTCTTGACTTAACCCCGCTGGTGAGAACTGGTGTGTACCATTAGTATTGGAAGCCTGCTCCCCCGGGTTGCGGGGCAACTGAGAAGGAGGGGGGGCCGGCAAAGATCCCGGGCGCCGACTTTCAGGCTGGTCTTTACCTTTTCTCCTGGCTGACCCTACAAGGAAGGGCAAACAGAATGCATTATGGGGGATTCCAAAGGGGGAAACAAACACCAAGACCAAAATGCAAAAGTTTGCCCCCGCAGAAGGGAAAACCAAAAAAAAAAGACTGCAGGTTTTTTTTACAAGGGCCAATGAGGTGGGTTGGTTTGTTTTCCGATTCAATTTGTAAGTCAGCCAAACGAGGCTTCCCAAAACAAGCAACATGCATTCATGTTTGCGCCTTTCTTGTACGTTGCAGCCTGGAGAGTCCCCTTGACAGAGATTCAAACTCCTAGCGTGACAAGGAGCCGGTGACACACACAGGGAAGAGTTGACGGGTCGCAGGCCTCTTACTGGGCCCGCTGGCCCCGGCCGGAGAAGCAGCAAACACTGACATTTTCGGACCAATGGATCCGCTCGCGCCTCTAGCTCTGAGGCGGATGTACCGTACCGAACCCCCTCGATTTGGAGGCGCGCACCCGTTTCGAGAATGCAATACCATCGGAGCCCGAGACACCTGTACGCGTTTCACCACCTGCCCAGACCAGAAGCACAGTCAGTGATGCCACCAGTTTGTGGGATGAGCCAAGAAAGGCTAAGGATGGGGGGGACGCGTCCCCAGGGGAAACCTGACCAAGGAAGAAAAACCTCTACTGGACCCCGCAGGCCGCGGCTGTCCCTGGAAACACCACCAGAGCGAGGCTGGGTTCACAGTGCCCCTGGCCCCTGTGCAGCACAACTAGACACAGATCAGAAAAGCCGACGCCCTCCTAGCTGTTCCTCCTGGGGTCTCCAGCCCCACTGCTCCTAACTGACCTCCGCAGAGCCTCTGCGGCGGGCCCGACTCGGCATCCAGCTGTTAAGCAGGGCGGGGAAGGGAAGGGAGGAGCGGTGAGGGGGAGGGTACCCAACACGCGTTAGTCAAAGGTTCTCGACCACTGGCGCTTTTCCAGCCGTGCAGCTGCTCAGACTCACGATTCGCTTTTCTCTTCCTCGAACGACCCCTGGAAGTGAACCAAGCAGCGCACACCACGAGGCCCGGCCAACCTACCGCTCAGGTCGCTGTTGGAGATGCGCAGCGCGGCGTTCTCGGACTGCAGCGATCGGTTCTTCTCCAGCAACAGCACCTCCAGGGGCTTGGCTGCATCCTAGACGGGGCAGGGCGGCGGGGAGGGCTCACTGCAGGGCCGGCCACCAGGCCCCGGGCCCCACCTCCCTCCATCGGTCTGCGTTCCCACCCAGCTCTCGAGTTGACTCCCAAGTGGGCTACAGACAGCTGATTTCTTCGTAAGACGTTTAACACACGTTAAAAACAAGTTCCCTTTAGAAAGAATGGATTCTAGTGGAAGTCATTTTTCTTAGACTTGCAGAGGTTCTAAACAATTAATTATTCTCTCATCTGTTCCTAAACTCCAGTGACCTAAACCGCCTCATTCGGCCACAGGACTGGCTGCCAAGCCACAAACCAGTGTTCAAAAGTAACTGTAAAGAGAACTTTTCTTTCTTTTTTTTTTTTTATGCCAGCCACAAAGATGTGGGCTGTCTGCTGGTATCAGGAGTCAGATTCCACTTAGGATGTCAATTTTATTTTATTTTACTTTTTTGAGACGGAGTCTTGCTTTGTCACCCAGGCTGGAGTGCAGTGGCATGATCTTGGCTCACTGCAACCTCCCACCTCCTGGGTTCAAGTGATTCTCCTGCCTCAACCTCCCGAGTAGTTGGGGCTACAGGCATGTGCCAGCATGACCAGCTAATTTTTAATATTTTCGGTAGACATGGGGTTTCACCGTGTTGGCCAGGCCGGTCTTGAACTCCTGACCTCAAGTGATTCACCCACATCAGCCTCCCAAAGGGTGGAGATTACAGGTGTGAGCCACCGCACTTGGCCTGGGATGTCAATTTTAATCAGCCACCAGACGACTGTGGGCCCCTGTCATTCTGCTCCTGAGCCTTCTCTACGGAGGTAGTTTGTAACGAAAGTTCCTAAACCAACCCACTTTTGACTGCTCTTTAACGCAATTAAAAAAAAAAAAAAAAAGATAGAGACTCACTCTGTTGCCCAGGTTGGAATAATGCAGCGGGGCAATCGTAGCTCACTATAGCCTTGAACTATGGGGCTCAAGTGACCTTCCTGCCTCAGCCTCCCAAGTAGCTGGGACCACAGGCGTATGCCGTGGTACTTGGCTAGTTTCTTCTTTTTTATAGAGACATGGTCTTGCTATATTGCCCACGCTGGTCTGGAACTCTTGGCCTCAAAGCCAATCCTCCTGCCTTGGCCTCCCAAATGGCTGGGATTACGGGCATGAGCTACTGAGTTCGTACTTCTTAAACACAATCTGAAATTGTTTTTTATTTACGTTCTTAGAACCTGCTCAAGTGAAATCACAATTTCACTTCGGTTACCAGTTTGGAAAACGCTAGCTTTTCTCTTTTCTCCTCTTTTTAGTTAAAGATAATTTGCTTTTTGGCAGGGCCCATCTCCTGTTAGCCAGGGACAAAGTGATCCCTGTTCACCCCCAGCTTGGCTTTTGATCTGTGCCCATGCCTGGTTCATGCCTTGGACGCATGGAAAAAAAAAGAGAGAAAAAAAGATAATTGGCTTTCACTTGGTTAAATGTTCCTGAAGTATGACTCACTGGCTGTAAGGGAGAGGCTTCGTACAAACAGTGAGATAGTGGGGCAGGCCGGGGGGACCGGCAGTGACCAGCAGCTGGGCCGCTGGTGCTGACCACTGAACAAGACGCATACCTGTGTCCCAGCGCCCTCGGGTGGTGCAAACTCCATGGACTTCAGAATGCTGCAAGAGCACGACAGAGCGGTTATTTTCTTTTTTTCTGACAGTCTCACTCTGTCACCCAGGCTGGAGTGCAGTGGCGCGATCTCGGCTCACCGCAACCTCCACCTCCCAGGTTCAAGCAATTCTCCTGCCTCAGCCTCCCAAGTAGCTGGGATTACAGGCATGTGCCATCACACCCAGCTAATTTTTGTACTTTTGATAGAGACAGAGTGTCATCATGTTGGCCAGGCTGGTCTCCAACTCCTGACCTCAAGTGATGCGCCCACCTTGGCCTCCCAAAGTACTGGGATTACAGGCGTGAGCCACCACACCCGGCCCAGAGAGGTTATTTTCCACTTACGCTTTTGACAACAGTCACATTAATAAGCATTAACATTACAATTTCCTGCTCTCCAGGAACTGAGGAACTGTCAACTTTAACAACTTCCCTGGCAGTAATAGAATCTGATAATGTCTCTAGAATAACTATTCAACTAGCAGTTGGCTGGCGAAAGTTTCTTGCCTAGCATGTAAATCATCCCATATGGAATCACACCAGGTCTGTTCAGAGTATAATTTTAAAGTTTAATACAGACATAACATTGTTGCAAGAGGAATCTATTTGTAAAACTTAAAGGGAAGGAAAAAGTTGTAAGGAGAAGCCAGAGAGAGAGGAACCCACCAGGGCGGCCACTGCCCACACCTCACTCCTAACTGGCACCCAGCTGGGGACCAGGGGACAGACGCAAAGAGCAACGTCCTAGACTCGGATGGCTCAGAAGCGAGGTGGGCAGACCCCCTCTGCAGCCCCAGGTTGGGGAAGGAGCTCAATGATAAAGGTGTGACAGGAGAGGGTGACTTCTCCCTGCCTTGTTCTTACCGGCACTGGAAAGGGCTGTGCCCCGATCACTAAAGTCTCTGGGCTGCCTGAATGAGTCCCGGTCCCCAGGATTATTACTGTGTCTTGAATTCCTTTTGCTGTGGATGTCCCTGTTTTGCTGAGCTTCCCAGGGAGAAGAGGGGAAGTGAGGCTACGTGGCTTCCAAGGAGTTGCAACTGTTTCTTTGAAATACCAAGCATGGAAGAGTGAGACCCAGACCAGGCTGGCTGCACCGTGAGATTTACGACTTGCAGGTACCGAGTCAACCGGACCTTCACAGCGTCCCTGCAGCCACAATTTTGGCCTCTGTCCCCCTGGTGTGTGCCACCACACCCGGCTAATTTTTGCTTTTTTCTTTTTGAGATGGAGTCTCACTCTATCACCAGGTTGGAGCGTAGTGGCGAGATCTCAGCTCACTGTAACCTCCAGTTCCCAGGTTCAAGCGATTCTCCTGCCCCAGCCTCCCAAGTAGCTAGGATTACAGGCATGCACCACCATGCCCAGCTAAATTTTATATTTTTAGTAGGGTTTCACCACGTTGGCCAGAATGGTCTCGATCTCTTGACCTTGTGATCCGCTCACCTTGGCCTCCCAAAGTGCTGGGATTATAGGCGTGAGCCACACACCTCATCCAATTTTTCCATTTTTAGTAGAGATGGGGTTTCACCATGTTAGCCAAGCTGGCCTCGAACTCCTGACCTTAGGTGATCCGCCAGCCTCGGCCTCCCTAAGTGCTGGGATTACGGGTGTGAGCCACTGCGCCCGGCCGAAAGGGGTTTCATAAGATGGAATCCTGTCCTTTGTTTCCTTTTTTTCTTTAGGATTATGTAATAAAAGACCAGGTGTCTTTTCTGCTACACATTTTACCAGCAACCTGTTATCTGCTTGTCACCGTGGAAAATCAGAACCACTCCTGGTCCGTACTCCAGGAAATTTACAGACCAATTACAGGTAATAGGCAACATTCCGAGTGGTCCATTAAGAGATAGAACTTGTGGGGACCCCAGCAGGAGGGATCTTGTTGGGTTGGAGACCACGTCTCAGCGTCATGATGAGCAAGCATTTGAGAATGAGCCCTGCAGGGACACGGTGTCTTATGCTGCAGCGCATGAGGATCTGAGGTCAGCACAGCCTGTCGCGTGGGGGTGGGAAAGTGGAAATGGGACGATGATGGGAAGGGGATGTCTGCAGGACGTCTGCAGCGCACTTGGTTCACCGGGAAGTGAGTGGGAAGCTAGGAGCACATTTGGGCAAAGAAGCCAGCTGAGTGGGGCTTCCAGGCATGCACATGGTGGCGGGGCCTGTCGTGTGCAGATGCCAGAAGAAAGGGTCAGCAGGAATGCCATGACAAGTCGGGCTGACGAGGCAGCCCTGTAGTGGGGCAGGGGCAGCCTGAGGCCCAGCGGGGGGTGGATAGGAGGGCGTAGACAGGTATGTGCTGCGGGCTGGAGCCACAAGCCTTAGCTCCCCGGAGGAGGAGGAAGAGGAGCAGGAGGAAGAGGAATAACTCTCAGGCTGGGAAAGGCCTTCACAGCAGGGTTTCTCTGACTCAAAATTAGAAGGCCCAATTTCCTTTTCTTTTTTTGGAAGAGGGAAAAAGAGGGAAAGGAAGGAAAGATCGGGATAAGATTGGCAGGTAGAGAAGGTTAACCAGGTAATGTTGAATAAGAAGTTAGAGAGGCTGGAATTGAGGGGTGTAGGGGTCCGTCTGAGGAGGTGCTGGCAGAGGTTTTGCAGCTGGAAAGGGGAGGAGACCGCTCGAGGTGAGAGCATGGTGGGGACAGGGACTACGAGAGCCGGCAGATGCCGGGGAGGCGAGGGTCCCAGGCGAGAGAAGGCGGCTGGCCACAGAAGTGAGATGGTTCAAGAGGATGCCCGAGGAGCTTTTCTCGGTGGGATGGAATTAACAGTACAAAGAAAACCTGGTGAGTGGGTCTGGGCTCATCTTAAAAGGAGAAATGGAAAATAGTGCGAAAGGGGCTGATGGGACAGCAGAGGGGGACAGGAAGGAAGGGATCCGAGGTCTAGGGCGGAGGGGGGCAGTCTGCAGAGACGGGAGGTGGTGCCCAAGACCAGAGGCGGGGTTCCAGGCAGGGATGAAGCGAAAGGAGTCCGTCCCTGGCAGAGAGGGCTAGGGTGTCTGCGGTTAGAGGTTGCGGTAACAGTGATGAGGGCAGGGATGAACCCCCGAGGAAGCCCCAAACTAGCAGAGCACCAGCAGGGAGAAGCACAGGGGGACCCGTGGGGCCGGTCACCACGCCCTAGGCAACCTTCGTGTGCAGTGTTTAATCATCTAGGAGTGAAGCAAGGATGCCGGCGGTGGGGGGGCTTGGAATGGCTGCCGGTCCAGGGGGAGCTGTGTGCACACAGAGGGACTGACCACAGGCTCCAGGCTGGCTAGGGAGGTCAGGAGCCTGGAGCATGACGGATGTCGGGGGACGGGTAAGGACCAGGGCCCGGGAGCTGCAGAGTGCCAACGCGGGCTCGGGGAGAGGAGGCAGCAGTGGGGGCTGGTGGCCACGCAGGGAACCTTGAAGGCTGAGAACTGAGCATGCCATCGGTAGCCCTGAAAAGATGACAAGTTTTCAGCCACAGCCTCAGAGATGGAGAACAGAGACTGGAAGATGGAGTTTCCGAGTCCAGGAGGCCAGGGCAGCGTGAGGCCCTGTGCCCGCCTTCAACCCGAAAACGGTTCCCTCCTGTGCTCTGCTTCTGTGTGGGGCATTTATAGTTGCAGAACAAGGTCTTATTTGATCGTTTCTGTAAAGGTGCTATGCCCCTGATTCCCCTACATTCTGGAATACTTGAACTACACAGCTTTTAGAAAAAGTCCAAAGAATGCAGGGACAGGCCTGAGTGCAAATGTCCACAGCACTGGGTAGCCCAGGACACCATGGAGTGGCGGAGCTCTGGCTGAATTTATGGGCATCTGCTGGGCCAAAGGGCAGGGGGCCAAGGCTGCCTGTCACCAGCCTGGCATTGTCGGCAGATGGCCCTAACGTGCCCCAGCTCGTGAGGGGCCACCGGGGTCTCCGTACTTACTTCAGCTCTTTCTTCACCTCTTCATAGTCAGCCTGGCCTTTGAGTTTTTCTTCCAGTTGCTGAAAACAGAGAAGAACTCGATCAGTGGCCATGTCTGACAACAGGATGACGGACCTCATGGTGGCATTCACCCAACAGCCAGCTGTGCCTGTGAGGGGAAGCCAGCCCTTGCCGATGGCAGTCGACAGTGCTGGGGACATCTTTTGTCCTTCACGCTCCTCACCTGCCCAGTGGCAGCGCGTGCCCAGGTACGGCAGTGCACGTAAGGCTGCTGTAAGGTTGTACTGTACAACTTAGCCAAACAGAACGAAGGCTGGGTGTGGTGACTCACGCCTGTCATTCCAGCACTTTGGGACTGCCTGAGCCCAGGAGTTTGAAATCAGCCTGGGCAACATGGTGAGGCCCCATCTCTATAAAAAGTAAAAAAAAATTAGCTGCATTGGTACATGCCTGTAGTCCCAGCTACTTGGAAGGCTGAGGTGGGAGGATCGCTTGAGCCCAGGAGTTGGAGGCTGCAGTGAGCTATGATTGTGTCACTGCACTCCAGCCTGGGTGACAGAGTGAGGAGTGGAGACCCTGCCTCTTAAAAAAAAAAAAAAAAAAAAAAGCACCCTCCACCCGGAAAGAAAAAAAACCCAAAAAACAGAAGAAAGAATCTTTGCAGAGGAGAAAACCAGAGGAGGAAAGGTCCCCTTCGCAGGAAGCACCATGAAACAGCAAACAGGAGAGGCTTTCTTGGTGTCTGAAGAGCAGCGTGTGGTTTTAAACAAAATCTGTGAGGCTGAGGGACTCATCCAGCTGGTTGTCAACACCTTTGGGGGGACCCCTGCTAACGAGAGACACAGCCCCTTTGTGTTGAGAGTAGGCATCAAATAGGCATCAGGGCAAAAGCCTTTGCACTCTTGAACTCCAGGATGCTGGGTTTTAGGACTAGGGGTCTGTTCAGCTGGGTGCTTGGTGGCTTCCCTGACAGCCAGCTGGTCTCAGTCCTGTGGGGAGGACCCTGCCCAAGAGATGCTGCTCCCTCTCAGGGGCCTGGGAGAGTGGCAGCACATTTGCAAAGTACGGTGATGCCCCAGTGGGCTCCAGAAACGTCTGTGAGCCTACTGGGGATTGACGTGGCCTTTTTTTTTTTTTTTTTTTTTAGTGGAGCTGGACACCCACTCTGTCGCCCAGGCAGGAGTGCATTACTAGTGTGATCTTAGCTTGGCTCACTGCCACCTCCGCCTCCCAAGTTCAAGCAATACTCCTGCCTCAGCCTCCCCAGTAGCAGGGATTACAGGCACACAGCACCACTCCTGGTTAATTTTGTTTTGCATTCTCAGTAGAGACGGGGTTTCACCATGTTGGCCAGGATGGTCTGGAACTCCTGGCCTCAGGTGATCCATCTGCCTCAGCCTCCCGAAGTGCTGGGATTACAGGTGTGAGCCACCGCACCCAGACTGATGTGACCGTTTCTGCCCACAGCTCCGTAGGGCTTTCCTGCTAGCAGAGCCATTGCTACGGGGTGGTCTGTAGGGGGTGCTTTCTTCTCTGAAGGTGTTTTTGGACTAGTTTGCTTTTGATCTTTCCTAAAGGTAGCTCCTAGGAGGAAATGAGGCAACTCTACATAAAACAAGAACATGGAAGGGCGGTGCTGGGAGGGTGCTCTGGCCGTTCCGCATGTTTCCAAGCTAGAGGTGAACATACATCATTCTTGTCATTCTTCTTCTTCTTCTTTTTTTTTTTTTTTTAAAGAGAAAGGGTGTTGCTCTGTCACCCAGGCTGGAGTGCAGTGGTGCGATCATAGCTCACTGCAGCCTCCAACTCCTGGGCTCAAGCGATCCTCCTGTCCTAGCCTCTTGAGTAGCTGGGACTACAGAGGCACATCACCATGCCTGGCTACTCTATTTTTATTTTTTATTTTTTTAGAGATGGGGTCTTCCGACGTTGCCCAGGCTGGTCTCAGACTCCTGAGCTCAAGTGGTTTTCCCACTTCAGCTTCCCCAAGTGTTGGAATTACAGGCATGAGCCACCATGCCCAGCTGGAGGCGCCCTTTCAGGTTCTGCTTGACGGGCCATGGCTAAGACCACTGTTTACAGTCAACTGAGAACGTTCTAGACTTTGGGGAGGAGATGGCGCCATCCAGATCCCAACCTGTCTGCTGTTTACAAATTAATCCCTAATTAGTTAATAATTAGCGATTAACCTATTATTCAATAATAATGAGAGATGAGGTTTCACCATGTTGGCCAGGCTGGTCTCGAACTCCTGACTTTAGGTGATCTGCTTTCCTCAGCCTCCCGAAGTGCTGGGATTACAGGCTTGAGCCACTGTGCCTGGCCTAAGTCCCTAAGATTCTAATGGAACACACAGAGAAAGCAGAGGAAATGACTGAAGTTCAGTAATGGTACTGGGACATTTGGTTTTCCATATGAGAAATATGCAAAAATAAAAATATATATACTATCTAGGTTTGCGCAAGCACACATTATTAATAACTAATTAACTAAAACTCCCGGGCTCAAGCGATCCTCCCACTTTGGCCTCTCAAAGCGCTGGGATTCCAGTTGCCCGGCCTTCATTGGGCCCGTCTTTTTCCGTTGCCTTTGCTGACGATTTCTTGTGTGTGCCTTTCCCACTGCATGAAATTGCTCTGCCCTAAGTCCTTCTGAAAGCCTCCCGCCAAATTTGTATATTATAATGGTTTTCTCAGTCCTAATAAACAGGAGGTAGAAGGCACTCATTTTTCTACAAAAGATTCTCAGAAGGTGCTTGTCAGGAAGTTATTACTTCATCCTCTTCCCTATTATCACATAGCAGGAAGTACTCAGGTACCGGTCCTCCCTTGCAGGAGATTATTCCGTGTCTCTGGGATCCAAAATGTGCATCAGACAGTCACCATCACCGAGGCTGGACACAGAGCACGCATAAACATGGTCATATCCGGAGAACAAGAGACCGCAGGGAATAAGGCAGAGAGGAGGAGGAGCGCACGGAGCACCTCACAGCCTGGCATGGCACAGACCAAGAAGGCTGGCGGCCTGAGCCTGGAGCCTGAGTCTGTCACTTACAAGCTGGGTGCCTATGAACAAGTTAATCAACTTCTCATCTGTAAAATGGGAATAACAGCAATTACTAAAGGGTTTGCACGCAGCAAGGAACCAGAGCAGATGTTGGCAACTCTGGGAACTCGATAGTGGGACTCTTTTTTTTCTTTTTTTTTTTTGAGAAGGAGTATTGATCTGTTACTTAAGCTGGAGTGCAGTGGTGCAATCCCAGCTCACTGCAACCTCTGCCTCTCAGATTTAAGCGATTCTCCTGCCCCAGCCTCCCAAGTAGCTGGGATTACAAGTGTCCACCACCATGCCTGGCTAATTTTTGTATTTTTAGTAGAGATGAGGTTTCACAATGCGGGCCAGGCTGGTCTTGAACTCCCGACGTAGGTGATCCGCTCATCTGGGACTCTCAAAATGCTGGAATTACAGGCTTCAGCCACCGTGCCTGGCCTAAGTCCCATAAGATTCTAATGGAACATATGGAGAAAGCTGATGTACGGTCCTTTATAAAGGCACTGCGGATGCAGCAGGGAAAATGACTGTTGAGTAACGGTGCCAGGACATTTGGTTTTCCACATGAAAAATATGCATAAATAAAAATACATCTACTATCTAGGTTTGTGCAAGTACACACTCTGATGTTTGCACAACAGCGCATTCACCTAATGACGCATTTCTCAGAACGCAGCCTCACTGTTAGGTGACGCGTGACTGTATTTTAGTTGGACGTGGGTTTTTACTGAGCGCTAAACAGCTTCCACGGAGAGTTCTGCCATCTACCTGTGGGGCTGTTTCATCAGGAAGTCCCCAAGATCTCTTCTGTCAACCTGAGGTGACATTTCCTGTCTTGGGCAGATGAGCTGGACGGAGCCTGGGGGAGGCTGCCTGACGACGCTTCTCCCAGCTGGCGGAGCGCCTGTAACTCGGTCCCACGGAAGTCTGTTCCAGTGGCCCTGCTGCGAGAGTCACATCTCAAAACCTGCAGGTGCAGGGTTCCCACTGGCCTCCGATGCAGGAAATGCCCAGTGTGGAAAAAAGGCCAACTGTCCTCAGCACGGTTCTTTGATCAGAAACTCCTTGTTGGGTTCCTAGAAAGCCTGGTTTCAGAGACTCTGACCCTGGGACGGGCGAGAGGCGCGTCAGTTTCTCAGTGTCTCTGAAGACGCACGCCTCCTGCTCAGGTTGCCGCTGGCCGCGTGGTGAGCCAAGCCTGTGCTTTGTCCTAGCATTTCATATGCTCCCTGGTTTCGTGATTGCAAAACTTCTGCGGATGTGTCTGACTACCCAAAGAAAGAAGAAAATCTCAGGGATCCTTCGGTGTGGATCTTGACAGAACTGAGGCCAGCCCCACCTGCTGGCAGAGAGGCCAGGATAAGCCAGGGACTCCCTGCAAAACCTGGGCTCCAGAGTCCCACGGATCCTGACTCTGCCACATACTTGCAGGGTGAACCTAGATAAGACTCGACAACTTGGGTCGGGTGTGGTAGCTCGCGTGAGTAGAGGAGATCAAGACAAGCAGGACAATATAGCAAGACCCCATCTCTACCAAAAACAAAAAAAATCAGAACATTAGCTGGGCGTGTTAGCATGTGCCTGTAGTCCTGGCTACTCGGGAGGCTGAGGCAGGAGGATCACCTGAGTCTGGGAGGTGGAGGCTGCAGTGAGCCGTGACTGTGCCATTGCACCCCAGGCAACACGGTGAAAGGATTTGTATTTGAAAAACAAATACATAAATCCAGGCTTGACTTCTCTAAGCCTCAGTTTCTTTATCTATAAAATGGGGATCATGTTGATATGTTACAGCCCTTTGGTGAGGATTAAATAAAGCATTGGGTACTTGGAGCTTAGTACAGTGCTGGGCACATGGTGAAGTACTCTGTAAATGGTGGTTAGTACTGTTACTGCCCTTGTTACTACAGTTACTGCATCCCTGCTAGGTGGGGTTGAATCTGGCTAAAACTGGATTTGAAGAGAGTCTCTGGTTCTGTATCTCCAGGGGCTCTGTTCGCGAAGGTTTCCA